AACATGTGTAAACATGTGGTTATTAGGAGGGTGAATTACTTCTTTATAACAGTTTTTCCAAGTGAACATGGCTGTACTAGTTGGGGGCAAGATAACCAGGTGAGCATGCAATATTCTGCTGCTGTCGCTTTCAAAGATAAAAATAAAATGATTTTTTTCTGTATTCCTTCCAAAGAGACTGAACTCTATGCTGTGTTTAAAACCCGAATCCCAAAATAATGTAGGGGAAAGTTCACCCTCTGGAATTTCTATTGGCTCTTTATCTTGTAAAATTTAATTTCACCTGAAAAGTATGATTAAAAACAAATATGCAACATACACATAACTGCAGACTGCACTGTCATTTTTGTGAAATATAGATGATGTTTGTGAAAAATAAAGTACATTTCTTTACCCTAGAGCCATAGTCAACACACTAAAACTCTATATTTTATTTGCCTTGCCTGTATGCTATACTTTCATGAAATAATTTATCTTGACATTAAAGTGCTCTTATAGATTTCTGCTCTACATCTGATGAAAATAGCATGACGTCACAATTAATTAGTGTGTTTTATACCGTTCCACAAATACAGTTGTTGTGCTACTTTTATTTATTTATGTTCCTTTTAATGTTCTTATGAGTGCACTCTTATTGCTGTTGTGCAGCATTTTAGTGCATTTTTGTTTCTGAATGCTATGCTGACTATGGATAGTCATTATACATTGTCTCACTATGTATACTTATTATAACTATACTATAAAAGCTGCCAATGTTATAATTTTTTTTAAATTTTGTACTTTTTATATATAAATGAACTGTTGGTGTCCCTAATTTTTTGATGTGTTATTCTAAATATAATTAAAACAATTTTTTTTTTATATTTTGTGACATACTTTGAATTCATATTCCTCCCTCTGTTATGCACAATAAATACACCATGAAGAGTTCATCTCAGTAGCAATTTAATCAAAGCTTCAGCCAGCCCAGAGTACTTATTAAAAAGCCAGCTCTTCTTAGTTGAAGTTTATTACTTCACCCTTCACTACTACATTTCATTTCACCGCTGCAGATTTGACCTGAAATTGGTTCAAGTCCCCTGTCACTGTCTTTTTTAAAGCCTCAAACAGTCAAAAGGAGGAGCAGGAGTTGCTCTTTCTCTGAAGACTACTTCAATTACACAATGCTGAAGGGTCATCATTGAGATTCCAATGAAAACTGAGAGTGATTGCCTCCTCCAGCAGTGAGGAGGGGAAGGATCAGGCAGCTTAAACACTTGTTGGAGGTGTTTATTTTCCAGGAAAACATGCCTTCCCTTCCTCCTCTGCTCTTTTTTTTTTTTTTTTTTTTTTTTTTGCACATTTGACAGCTTCTGCATGCTTGGGCTTTGATGCCCCCAAACTGCTGGTTTCTATATGCTGCGGTGAAGCTTTCCTTTGAGCTGAAACCTGACTGATAGTCATCCCTAATGGATCACATTAGACTCACATTAGAAGGACTGGCCTGGGAGGTTAATTAAGAACGTGATGCCGAACAACTGTCTGTCTTTCTCTCCCTCACTGTGTCAGACTCAGGGTTTTCACCATCACCAGATTTATTTCACAGCTCCACAGTAACGATTACTGCTCTACATCTTATTGAGGATGCTCATCATTTTTATATCAGATCATCGTCATAGTCTCTCTTTTTTTAATTCTTTTTTTATATTAAAATACGCTTGAAATAGAGTGAAAAGACCAGAGGAGCTGAATTTGACAAATGTTTTGACTGATGAATTTTTCCAACTCCATGAAATTATGCAAAGTCCTGCTTCAAATGCAAATACCCTCAATCCTCCATGTGTTTTCGGAGTTTCTTGGAGCCCTGGTTTCAAACAGTTTACATGGAGAAGTTGAAAAGCTTCTTACTGTTTGCTCATGTCGGTTTTGCATTGCAAACTGCTGGAAGAGGAGGACTGTGATGGCATTCTCTGCTGCTGCCAGGGCAACATTATGTTTATATTTCTTAAAAAAAATATTTTTTTCAGCATGAAAACTGAAAATTGACATAAAAAAAGGAAGAAAGTGTGTCAAAAAGGGATGAGAATTTATTTTCATTTTTATGGCGTACAATAAATGTCAAATTTGGCTGTAAATAAAAAATAAATAGCCCTAATCCTGCAGAGGAACATGACACAACCCCACTTGGTTAACAAAATATTATACAAGAATCAAACCTTAACTCACCTATTTATTAATATGAGCTTAGCAATCAAATTGTAGAGAATTTGTCAACAACCAAAATGTTGTCAGCTGTGAAGTCACTCACATGTTGACCTCATCTGAACAGACAAATACTCTTATTATGTAACACAGCCACAGCCTGGATTCACCTCCTGCTTTCATCATCAACCACAAAAAAGAGAAAGAAAAAAAACAACAAACGTGCCAGATGTTTGTCGGATCCAAGCCTGCGGTCCCACTGCTCCTACTGTTGAAACGAGAGTCGAGAGACCCTGAGACAGACGTAAAAACAGACTGAGAGGCTTTTTTTGTCTGATTCTCCCTGAAAGTACAGCGGCAGTCGGACTGTTTAATCCACCACTTCACCTGCCGTCAGGGCTCATGGGATTGGGAATGACAAAAATGGGATTAAGGATTAATAGATTTTTATATTATCATATTTCTCACCCCTGCTGACTCTCTCCCTCGATGCCTCTTGAGCTCTTCATGTTTATTTTATGGGAAGATGTCAAACTCTGCTTTTAATTATTATGAAGTCAAGTTCCTTTGACTTCAGTAAATGGCAATTTAAAGTAGGGCTGAATAAATTAAGTCATATCACAATGGAGATTATTGCTTCCAACACTCTCTGTTGTCTACCATGGAGTCTTAAGGCCATGCTAAGAAAATGAAGAAAAAAAAATTATTAGAATAAAGTGATAAAATTCTAAACATTTATAGTATTGCTGTTTAACAATCAGCAGCTTTAGCTCTGAAATACTTTTCTGGTCAAAGCTGAAATCAATAAATTCTAGAATTTTGTTAAAAGACAAATGGGGTGTTTTAAATAATTTTTGGGTTTACCGTCTCATCTAATGAAAAGCTGCTTAAAACTACAGCAACTAGCCAATTCAAACTTGGATTAAATTTTGAATCCTAGATTTTCTGAAACATAATTTTCTGGTTTGCAGAAGCATTTGTCAAAAAATGTTGTTCTTGTGAATCTTGTTTTGCATGTTACATCACACCCACAGTTGTTTGATCAAAAGCTTAAATCAAATTGAAGTTCACTCAACCAGTAAAATGATGGAGGATGAAGTCTAAATGCATGGATATGATAATATTAAATGACACAGTCAACCAAGATATAATCCCACCTTAATCCCAATTCTTAAATGGGTCTTCCTAATTTAGCTGTCACCTTCCTGGGCTTCTGGATACTGTGTCCTCAAAAATCATGAAAACTGATACGTGATGCTCGCACACGAGGTGTCAGACTGAATTGAGCAGCTTAAGTTAAATCAAATGCGAATACATTTGCCCCTTTGACAGCAAATTACACAACAGCACTTAGAAATGCAAGCATGCTCACCGGCTCTGAAGACACAAATCTCGCTCTCCCTTTGACACAAACACAAATCCAAGCTGCATGGATTTTTTTTGTTGTTTGTTTTAAAGTGCAGGTGCATTGTTCCTTCTCTTGTGGTTGAGGTTTTTCTTTTCTTTGCCCTGCACCCCACAATGTCTGCCAGCTTCACAATCAGCAAGCGCATCAATATTCCCTGCAGACCTGACAGCTTTACTCCTTATTCGATACAGCCGCCTGCACTGATAAAACCAACCAGCCAAACGGAATCCACAGATTAAATACTGCAGTCAAAACAAAGTAAAAGAAATGACAATGGATTTAGAAAATGAAAATCCTCTAAAGATAAGGGGGCAGAGGTCAATGTGTTTATATGCATCTACACTACTATAATGAAATTTAATAACTATGGTGTCCAAGCTTTTAATGAAACTTGATGTTATCTGATTTAAAGTTCTTGAGCGTTTTGACAGTCAATGAAAGTTATTGCTTCCAAAACTGAGAAAGCTGAAGATGGCTTATGTGACGTATAGCATATCAATGATCAGAGAAGTGACTGAAAATAAAATCTCAGTTTTTTACATTCATCAGATGCTTCTTGAGCCTTCATAATGTTTTATTACTGTTTAAATTTGTATTTTTGTTTTTATAGCTGCTGGTTGCTTGGATTCTCCAAACAATCAATAAAAAAATCCAAATTGCAAAATAAGATCAATGTTTACAACTATAATGTTTCATCTACTAAGAGTGTTTATGCACTATACTGCACTTTGAATTATTCATTTACATTTTTATTGAGCGTCTTTGTGTCTTTATATTTAAAGTGCAGCACTGGAGAGGCATTACTGATTGAACAGTTCATTCTTTTTTAATTACAGTATAGCTTTTCCAATTCCTTATTCTGTTAATGGGAGTCCATTAATTAGCTAGGCTTGCAGATAATAAATATTAGATGATCATATTATTTAATATTTTAATAGGATATATTTTAAAACGTTTGAGAATGGCCTTTTCAAATAAAAAAATACCTCTGGGTAGACTTTTGCTGCACTTCTACAACAAGAAGGTTTTTTTTGTATATGTTTTGTATGTTTGTGAATTCACAACAAGCTCTTTGCAGCGAAACTCGGCTCAGCCTTCAGTCGGCGCTCCGCCTATGAAACATTGATGACTCCTTTCTCTACAAGACAATAATAAGTACTCCACAAAGCCAGGATCAAGCGAGGACCTGAATGTTTTCAGATGATTTGAGCGTGGAGAAGAAGAGAGAATTTTTTTTTCTTCTCTGTTTCACATGACTAAACAAACACCTCATGAATTAAACTGATTCTTTGTTTCAGGCAACCAAACTCCACAGGATGAAATCAAAAATTTAAATGAAGTCCAACTGATTTCTCAGTTGACACACAGGAGGAACAGTCCTGTCCTTGGAGGAAAAGTCAGAAGCGTTTACCTTCATGTGTCGTCGTCTCCGTCTGAAGCGCAGCAGCTCCTTGTGCTGGCGGGCGATAAAGTTCACGGCGGCGTATTCCAACAGGGCCGAAAAGACAAACAGCAGACAGACTGCCATCCAGATATCAATGGCCTTCACATAGGACACCTGAAGGCAGTCAAGAAAAAAACAAACAAAAACAAACATCAGATATACTGAATTAGAATAAATAAACAGAGCCTTGTGTCTGGGTTTTTGCTTCGAGGCCTTTTGGCTCTGCTTTTTTTGGTTCACTACCTGTTTTTCAATCATGAAATATTGTAGTTGGACAGATAGGAGCTAAACGAAGTCTGTCTGGCTTATTCTCTAATTAATTTACACCCTGTCTTGTCATTTTACCTCTTTATCTCTACACTGATCACTTTGTGTAGCCCTGAGTCAAACACAAAGAAAACACAATCACCTGTATAAAATCTAATTAAATTATGACTTTGGATCTTTTGCACACACACAGTCTGGAAGTTCACCTTGTGACACTGATAGGAAAACATTTATCTTTGAACAGCTGATGAACACCTTGGCTTGACAACCATTCAGGCATAAAGCAGCAACGTAAAGGGAAATAGGCCATTTTCATTGGACTTACTCTCACTAACAGTAAAGAATGTAAAAAAAAATTAACCTTTTTATACAGTATTGAGAACATTGCTTCAGTCTGCAGTGATGAAGAAGGAGCTAACTGAAAAGCAAATGTCTCTATTTACTGAGATCTTGGGATAGAGCCACTGCCTTTCTGCATCAAAAAGGAGCCAGCAAAGATGGTTGAGTCATTTGATTCATTTGGACATTTTTCTGTTTGGAGGTTTTCCAGGCATGTCACACTGGGAAGAGAACCAGAGGAAATCTTTACACCCGTAAGTCTGGTAGACTTGGATCGACTGGTGACCAAAACTGCAACAATTGTTAAATTTTCAGATGGTTCACATCTTGCTTTTGGAGCAGTTTCTGGTCCACTTGCCTCCAAATAGATATTTGCACTGTGCGAAAATTCACTTTAATCGGATCAGAGTTAGCTATTTTTTTGTCCACATCAGAGCTTGATTGCGCATTCACGCCTCCTCCAATAAACCAAACTTTCTAAACAAACAAACTGGAGTTCAATTAAAGCAAACTAAACAGAGCAGTAGTGAATGGGCCCAGAAGCATTTATCTAGAACTTTGTGGACAATCTATAGATCTCTCATGAGAAACAGGATGATGTTGCTGGGGAGAGGATTCTCTAGTTTCCCTTCCGAATTCGTCTCTTTCATGACCTAATCTCAGATAAGCAGAACGCAGCAGGTTCCTCTGCTGTTTGGTGAAATCCTTAAAAATAAAACCTGCCCACCTTTCTTGTAAATGTTCTTCTCATCCACCTCCATTTCCCTCCAGCCTGACATGATGCAGTATGTCATGTGTAGGTGTGTTTGATAGCAGTCGCACTGATTTGCCTGCGAGTGTGTGACTGAGCCGCATGTACACTCAGCTGTGGTGCGTGATTATTACTATGACAGCTGAACTGCAGAGGAATCACGGTTCACTAGTTTGGTTTCCAGTGCGCTCCAAATGTAAACAAACTTAGACTGAATGCATTTGAATTACAGCTTCCCTGGAATCATACAGGCTCATATTTGCTCCACTTCCATTTGAAAAGACAGAGGGGCTTCAAAATTGTTTTTGTTTATTTGATGATTTCCATTTTCCCTTCACTGTAACTTAGCAAGTGTGTTTTCTGTCATCCCCTTTTGATTCAGTTAATATCACTCCACGCATCACTAAGTGTCTGAACAGGCATAGAAATTTGTCTGATTCTCTGCACCTTGGGCAGCGAGGCTCTGGAGCCTGAGCTCTGCGTGGTCATGGTCAGCACTGTGGTGATTCCCAGACCAACGCGGGCAGGCGCTGCGTCCATGTTGATCCAGAAGGAGACCCAGGACAGGATGACGATGAGCAGCGATGGGATGTACATCTGGATCAGGTAATAACCCATCTGACGCTCCAGGTGGAAACGAGCCTCAATGCAGGTGAATTTACCTGAAACAGAAGGACACAGACTATTAAATGGAGGCTGAAAAATTGGGAGATTTGGAATACATCTTAGTCTTCTGGCTGTGCATGCCAGGAGATAAATGATTAGTATGAACAACTGGTCAGAAACCAATCTGTGACTGAAATCAGGACATGTCATACGCATATGGGTGAGTTATGTGATGATTTAATTCTTTGATATTGAATAGTTTAGTCACACTAAATTAATCAATTTTGAATGTCTTTATTTCCAATGTATTGTCACATTTTAATTATGTGATAATACATAATTAAAATGGGTTAGGGTAGGGCTGTATATTTCCTTTAGATTGGGGTTACATAAGATGAGTGTATTATTTCAGTAGAAACACAAAAGGTGTTTTGTGTTTTGTGAGAGCCACAGGCACTCCCAGGCCTGAGGCTGTGTGGGTTAAAGAAGTGATTGATGCTTGTGCTCGCAGCATGTTGTTGTCTCAGAGCTCATGGCGAACAAAGTCAGGAATTTCAGCTCCTCCTAATCCCTCCGTTTCTTCAGAAGCCTCAGAGTTTTGACCCAAAATACACCAACAGAATCAAGATTCCTGTTCTCTACCAAAAGAACAAAGATTTGTGTAACAGATAGTGCAGACCAAGGAGTTCTGATCTAAACGACATGAAGTCAGTATGGGATCACATACAGAAACAGGAAACTCTAAAAGCCTAACAGAAGAAACGTGAAACATTTTACCAAGACTTTTTGTTTTCAGGTTACATCAAATTGATTTTCTAAAGGCATCATATGTAAAACCATTAAATTTAATTTGATCGACAATAAACCTCTTCTAGAGTTCAACTGCCTCCACAAAAAGGAGACCAGTTAGCAACTTTTTATATTAAAACAAATCAGTTAAGACAATAAGTTGCAACAATTTTACAGTGATTACATTATTATCCAAAAATATGTTGTACACTATTTGGCATGGAATCCAAAACTCTGTCTAGTTGCAAGTCATTAAATCTGGTGGGATTTCTTAATTGCTCCACATGACAATGCTAATTACTAGTAGCAGTACGAAATGATAAAGTATTTTTTAAAATTTCAAATATTCCAAAATTAGAAATGCATGTTGTCTAACTTTTTACAGTACAATATGTGTGAGGCCAGTCCAACAGAAACCAAATGAATAGCAATTCAAATAAATATTTTATGTATTAAACCTTCACTACATTTTAAACAACCAGCAGCCATATTGGATTTTATGGATTGTAGTTGTTTTGTATATTTAGGCTTCGATCTTAAAATCCAGACTTTAAGGAATGTTCCAGTTGATTTTTCTTATTTGTGTGTGTTTATGATGTAAATCACTTGGAACTGCCTTGTTGCTGAAATGTACTATGCAAAAAAAACTTGATTGACTGATTGATGTCTAAAAACATATACTGCTTTCAAATAGCATTTCCCAACATAATTTATTTCCTGCAGATTAATTGTCCTAATTGTGTTTTAGTTTAGTTTTAAATCACTAAACATACGCTATCAGTTGAAGACTTTTTATGAGAAAATAGAAGTTTCACAGGTAAACAACGTGCATAAAGAAAATCTACAATGATATTTTAATCAACCTACACTGCAGCAGGCTTATTTACATTGCAGTGCTGTTGCAGTGCTAAAGTCCCTCAGTCTTTCTCGGTAATGTAATGAGCAATGGGTCCCATAATAAACTGCACGATAGCCAGAGAGCAAGATGGCTGACAATCCATTTAATCAAAGAGGATCAATGGAGGGTAGCCCCATCAGTTAACAGTTAACCCTTGAAGCCTGGAGAAGAAGGCAGAGGCAGAAGATTCAAGGGAAAACCAAAGAGAGAAAAGCGATGAGAGGAACAAGGAGACATTAAAAGGCAGAAGGAGCGAGGGAAGAGGAAGGAGGAGGAGAGTTCATGAGGTTGATTTATAGCTGTGATACACTTGGGAGCTTTTAAGGGCTGTCCATATTTTCCATCTGATAAGAAGATTGAAATTATTCAGCCGAGCCCATATCTCACTGTTGGTGGGCCTGTGTGTGTCTACTGAACTTCACACTGCACTCTGAACATGTCTGTGCATATTTTAAAAACCATATTTATCGTCCACAGCAGCAGAGGTATAAACACACTGTGTAAGGGCTGCTTTCTTTTTTGGAATGAGTTCAAAATCATTGTTGAGATAAAGTAGTATTTTATAAGACTAGACTGCAAAAAGGAAAAGAAAAACAACAAAACAAAACTGTTGCACAATGAGAAAATATAAGAAAATGTAAAATCCACTCAGACTCTCAGTAGTCTATCTGATCAACTTATTAAGCCTCCACCTTTGGTGCTAATGAAATCACTTTGTATTATTACTTGAAGAGAAATATATAGAATGCTGAAACATTATTACTCATAGGAAATGCAGGTCCGGATTGTACTACCAAAATAAAGGAAGTTAGAGAAATTATATTACAATCAATTAAAATCCTAATGAACTTAAAATTTCTGGCTTTAAGAAGATGCAAAATAGAAAAACTGCAACTTGTTTACCATTAATACATTAAACCCGTCACTTTATGTCGTTTTATAATAAACTGGTTGAGTTAAACATGTGGGAAGCCATGAAATAAGCAGCTGATGTCCAGCCTGCCGAACTTGATTTGCTCTGAGTTCTGTCGGACCAGAAACCGAAGGCTCTGGTCCGAACAGTTGTAGAGAGTAATTTGTACCCATCTAATGAAAAAGAGAAGGAGTAGAGCTGATTACTCAAAACAACTCAGACTATATGCAAAAGCCTTCTTCAATCACTCACTTTTATATGGCTCTAAACTATCTTAAATCTTGTCAGCTTGTGCAAAAGCAGCACCATATGATTTGTTTCAGAAACACCTTACAAGAAAACATGTTGATGTAGTTTGTACTTCAATTCAAGAGGATGTCAAAGGAAATAGAAGTGATGCACAAGAAAAGGGATTATGTCTCTGATCTGTTTAGGTGTTAACTTTTTTTCACATCCCAAACATATTGTCAGCCACAGAACAAAAGCCCCCTGCAATGCAGCAGAAACCGTAATTAGTATTTCTAACAGGGATTTCTATATGTGTGTGTTGGGAATAATGAGGGAGATGTCACGGGAGGTGAGTGAGGGAATGGAAAGAAATAAAAAGGAAACAGTCAGTGGCAGCTTGAAGGAGAAAGATGGATGTGGGGAAAAGACTCCCTCTTTCTCAGTCACAACAGACCACAGCTAATAAATCTGAGGAAAACGACACCTTAATTCCCTCTTAATGCTTGATTAGGAAGCAGTGAGCTGAGTGCACACTCTACCCTGGACACTAACTCACACAAACATGTCATCACACACAGTGAACAGCCACTGAGGAGCAGGCCGAGGATGAGATGCAAGGGATGCAGAAGAGCAGAAAAAGGAGGGTAAACAGGAGAAATTTATGTCAGTGAAGCAGTGAAAGGAAACAGAGGAACGATTTCAGGTACACAGGAAAATCAGACTCCTCTCTGTTCTAGTAAGAGCAAACAACTCATGTCAACGTAATACTTGATAAATATCCTACCGACCGACCTTCTACTAATGAGCTCGCTCTGTCTGCCCTCTGCTCTGTATGTACTTCATCGAGTCAGTGTTGTATTGAAGGAAAACACTACAAAATACCAAAAGCTCACTATTTACCCCTGTGGCTGTGCATAAAACTGTCTTTAGGGGGACAAAAAATCAAGAATGCCAGAATCACAGAAACATTTGTAAACTTAATGTTGTGAATGAAACATTAAAACAACTAACCTGCAGGTGCAGCCCAACAAATAATCCACATACATTTCTCACACAGAAAGTTGTAAACTCAAACATTTATGTCTCATGCATTCAAGATGGAAATGCATTAAGGTTTTAAATCAGCCATTGTCTGTTTACATTTTTCTTCTTGGAATTTCTGTAATCTTTTCTAGATATCTTTCAGGGATTTATGAGCATTTTTCAAACAAAGCAAAAACAAAAATTAACCCAGAAACATTAATCCAGAAAAATGACAGTACCGTCTTCTGTTAGAAAACCAAAAATATCCAAAAGTACATTTTTAGATTTATTTGTATATTTTCTCCTATGTGTACATTTCTTGTTTTTTCAGGATATTCAAAATCCATTAAATTAAACAGTTCAGTGTAAAGAGAAGTGAAACAATGACTTCATTCCTGAACAGGCCTGACCAATGAGCTCTCTGTTTTGTCTTTGTTCGGCTGCCAGCTTTAAAACAAATTTATCTGAGAACCTGTTGGCTTTTCTATGGCGTGTCGTAGTCGTGGGCTGGACAGGCAGATGGTTTTCAGCCACATCTCATGGAGAGAGAAACAGAGTGTGGCGGCAGGCCCCCAGTCCGTCACCGTCACCGACTCCATATTCCTTTTATTTGTCTCTGTTGCAGAATTTCACTGCACTTTTTTGTTGAGAAAATTTTTAATTTTGGTCTTTTTATTTTTCCTTTCTCTTTGCTCATTCCTTTTTAATCCATATCATCATTCAATTTTTATTTTGTAATTTATTTTACACTTGTTTTCCATTAATTTACCCACACTGAGATTAAAAAAAATGAAATTAAAAAAAAAAGATCAATTCCAACACATTTGTGTATTTCATAAAGGCAAAGAGGAGAATAGAGATATTTGAACAGAACTATCAGTAGTTTCGTGCCCCACTCACCTGTGTTGTAGTGTTTGGTGCAGTAGCGCAGATCTTTCTCCTCTTTAAGTATAAACTGAGGTAACGTCAGACCGTCGGCCACCTGCACGGCTCCCTTCTCGTCCCACTCGAAGATCAGGTCATTCATAGTGTACCCGACTGGAGAAGAGAGCAGTGGGTCAGAATGTCTGAACCATTTGGTATTTTATTTTAGAAAGAGGAGGATGATGTTGTTTCTGCACCTTGCTGAGCCACAGAGAGGCTTACCTCCTGTAGTCATAATCAATAGAAATAATGAAATCATGTTTTCTTTCCTACCAACAGGACACTCCACACCTTTTTACCAAGTGTCCACCTCAGTCTAAAGGAGAGTTTAAAGGTGACATATTACCTTTCCTTGAACAGTTTAGGATAGGACTGTGTTGATTACATTTCTTGCATGAAATCATTCTAGATAATGAGATGTTAGTTTGCTGAGTTCTGCTTATTTTGAGCTCTTTTCAGATCGAGCTGTTTTAGAGCCTCTTGTAACTTTAAGTTCAAATAAGCTGCTGCTGGCCACGCTCCCCCAACTCGACGTTTACACTCACATGTGAAAATCGTTCCAAACATTTTCAATTATACAACTGTACATTTTTCAAAAGCAGAAATCAAGCCTTCTGCACAAACAAGAATGTAACAAGTGGCTGCTAAATGATAAGTTAAATACTTGTATTTTCCAGCAGCTGACCAAATGCCCTGCAGCTTTGCTTGCGTTGTTAGTGTACATCCATTTTGTCTTTAAAATCGGGTGTTTTTTGAAACGCCTCATTTTCCAGACACCAAAAAATTGCTTGCTGTTTTTTTTTTTTTTAATGGTTTGGCTGTTTTTAGAAGTAATTGAGACCCAAATGGTTGTAGAAATACATGCAAAATGTCAATTTTTCTCAATAGTTCCCCTACAAGAGTCACAACCTAATATTTCTCTACCAAGGTTGAGCAGGAGGTTTAAAATCTGCTCAAATTGGGTCATTGCTACTATACAACCTTTACACTATCTTTTAGGAAAAGTATTTTAGATGTGTCCCAGAGAGAACAGAGTTCTGGGGGAGGTTTTGGCTGCAGACTCCGATTCCATGTTGTGGCTGATTAGTGTACATTCACTGGGCTCTCAGAGATATACTGACAGCCTCTCTTTGTACTTTCTCTGATTTCCATCAGCCTGTTTGGAGAAGGGAAAGACCGCAGAAAAATCTTCACCACTTCTCTCAGCCTGTCATCGCAGTGATTGACTGACTGATCCGTTTGCTTCACTGGGTGTGAATACTCACAGCTCTCCAGCTGCATGATGCAGGTCTGGACGTCCATGGGGAAGTTCTTCAGATCCATCGGACAGGCCAGGACCAAAGTTATTCTGCACACAGAAACAACCACATACAACTTAAGTGAGACAAATTATCTGAAGAATTAACTGTTTTCCTCATCCTTTCATAAAAATACCAGCACAGTAATTTAAGATAAAAAAAAATCTTTGTTTCTTTTTTGCAGATATTTTGGGAACAATTACACAGAACTTAACTGTATAGAAATAAACTACATCTTTAAAGGAAGCGCAGAAAAAAAAAACATGTAAGTTGTGGAGAAATCTCAAAAAGGAACTGGTCATTTCTAAAGTTTTCAAAAGCAACCTGGTTGTTCCCTGATGTAATTTTTAAGGACTCATAAATTAACTTGGGAAAATGTTTTAGCTGAAACATTACATGATTATAACCCGTTTTATGTTCCACAAAGTAAAGTTTTTGAAATTGTATTAATTCAGTCTTGTGGACATGAATGTGAACAGAAGGTTCTGGAAAAGATTAAAAAAGATAATCTGTAACAAGTAAAACAAAAAAATATATAAAATATAATAATTATATGACAATAGGATATATAAACTCCTTCTGAAGACTTAAAACTCTCCTGAGTTGCTTTGGTATTGGCTGACTTCCTCTTGACTTACAGACTCCAGCTGCTAGAAACTGTGTTAAAGTTATCTGAACTGTGAGAGAAAAGTTACAGCTTGTGTGTGACAAGACTATTTAAGTGTATCTATTTATAAACTTAAATAATTAATAAGTTAATTTAAATAAAATTAACTTTATTTAGCTTTAAATGAAGTTAAAATCACTTTATTTAACTTTAAATCAAGTTAAAATCACTTTATTTTTTGTGAGTCAATAGAAAGACATCGGATTGTACTTGATAATTGAGAAAAGAGTCAGTCTTGAAACCAAAGCTTCTTTATTATTTCATTATACCTGAAGATTGTCAAATAACTCATTTTGATCCATTTCAAACCCAAATTTGAACTTTGTTCTAAATAAAAGAAAATTTAGCTGAGAAAAAAAAGACTCCAGGTCTACTTTTGTGTCTGCAGAGACTTAGCCATCATGACAATTAGGAGAAGCTGAGCTGACGCCTCGTTTTCTGGTCCTTCTGTTTCTCTCCGACCGGACACCCGCTGCAACAACATCCTCATCCCGTCCAGCCGATGTACCAGATAAACTCTGCCGCGTCTGCACATCCTTACAAATCCTTGACAGGATGCTGAGTATGCTTTGCTCGCATGATGTAGTCAGCGCAGATGTCCCACTTTCTCCAAAAGACGTTCACCTTAGTGGTTTCCTATCTGCTTATTACAACACATAAATGACTAATGTCAACAGAATATGTGTCCTTATTTTAGTCTGCAACTGCTGGTAAGGTGATGGATCTCTGATTGTGTGGGTCCTCTCAGTGTTAGCATCAAAACTTTTGGAAAGTAGACGTATTGAGATGGATTTATTCATGTTTTTATGCAGAAGTTGGCCTTGTTTGCAGCTATAGAAGCACAAATAATAAAACTAATAATGTACACCTCTAATCAATAGTCATATAATCAATAATTATATAAATACACATTATTTGTCAAGTAAATTAGATATGCTTGCCTTGATGAGAGGAATTTTCAAAACAAATGGTAGAATAACTCAGTGTTTAGACTTTATCTTTAATTGGTCTCAATTTTATTCCTTCTTCGGTTCGAGAGAGGACCGATGTTCTGACCATCAGTCCCACTTCGTTAGATATTCCCACTGCAGCGCAGATAGATAGCCAAGTCTGTCAGAGTAAAACTGACGTCACGTTTGAGTAAGCAGTATGTTACGTAGCATCAATGACCGTTACCACAAGGTAGGACAAGTTCATGGGTAGCACTGAAAGTTAGGACACCTGTTAAAACACCTGTACAGAGTCAGCAGATGGAGTGAGAGAGGTGGCCGGTTGAGCCACCGTGGAAAATAACTTCCTGCTTTCTCTGGAAGAGGTCAGTTTGTCATGGGGAAAAAATGACATTTTTGCACAAGTTAAGCTGAAGGCAAAGAGCTGCCAGACAGTCAGGAAAAATGCACATTTATGCTACTTTATTTTCACGGCACGCCTCAGATTGGTTTTCCACGTGTAAGGATGGAAATATCTGGAATGGAATAACCAAAGCAGGTCTGATAGAGGAGGTAGTGTTTTCTTTTCTACATTACCATCTGCTTTTGGAGAAAATGTCGGGTAAACTCGGAGGCATTTTAGCCCAAAATAGACGATCCATTTGATCTCAGAAGTCATACACCTGAACAATCATAAATTTTCGCTTTTGATTCAGCGCTCGACTTGCACAAATTGAACAACATATCAGCTCAGCGGCTGCATCTAAACCTGGTCATCCAATCTCAGAGGGTTCACTTTCATCTCAACACAGAAAGCGGCATCAACGCTGACTTCTGTGGAGCGATACACATCAAAAACAGAGTAAAAAACATTCACATCAGCCCCGTTCTCCTGCATCCCCCAGGGATGGTTTAATATCCTTAGCTGCTTTGTCGCCTCTGAGATGAAGCTGATCAACAAAGAGGCTCATTCTGACCATGTCAAGTTTAAAAATGAGGAGCGTCGAGGAGGAGCGCGAGATGTCTCTGAGCTCTGACGATATTTATAAAGGACCAATCTTCCTGTTGCTCCTGCTGGACACGAAGGTGAAAGCCGAGGTTGATAACGGATCAGAGGCACTGCTGGAATACTAACAGGACTGAGTAGATTACCACGGCTGCTGCTGCGCTTTTTCATCTGCCCCAAGCAGCTGCAGTAAAAGCAAGTAGGAGGAAACACCGACAGGCTGAAAGGTTTGTTGGCTGAAGGAGGCTGTAACTCTTAGAGGCTTAGACAGGAAGCCACACGGAAAACGAGGAAAACCAAATAAGAGAAAACGTTCCAGTAAAACCATCTCTCCCAGGGAGTCAAATCTTTTTTCAGTCACTCCTCATTAAATTATCACAAGATAATTAAATTTCTTGGTTTGCCTCAATGCTCCTTGTTCATTTTTATTTTTTTTTTAAACAGAAGTTTCCAATCAAACTTAACCAATTTAACCTCCTTGTACAACAACAGATCTGATCATTTATTTTTGTAGAAGTATGATAAACATTCTAAACTTTTTGATATATATCCTGGATTTAAATTTAAAGAATTAAGATCCAAATAAACTACAGTAAAAAACAAGCAGACATGGCAATAAAACAGATTTTGGCAAGAAAAGTGGAAAACTGAATATGATGAGCTAAAAAAGAAAAAAGAAACAGGAAAAATACAGTAATGGTCTAATACTGAACATTTTTAATATGGTAAAATTATTTATAAAGTTGAAAAAGTCCAATTAAACAAATGAACAAATTACTATTGAACATCTAAATGGCTTTTATAAACCAAAATATAAGCTTCTTTTTGAGGACTTTAAAAAAGTCACAAAACATTAATCAATTTTAAGATGCTTACAAACAAAGTCTTTAATTGCCACAAGGAAAATTAAACAAATGCTGGAAATAATGGAAAACTGAGTTTATCTCCCAGTAGAACCAACTTTAAGTTGTTTCCCAATTTCTTCATTTTTACAATAACACGCATTAACTCATATGCTCAGCAGTTTTCTTCAATCCATTAATAAACCTGTACTACAAAATCTGAATATACTTGGCTAAATTGATCAAAATCAATTATATTTGAAAAATATAAGAAATTATATTATTTGACAAATGCCAAAATAATAAAAAATGTTCTGGTTTACATAAAACAGACTCCTGATTTTGAATAGTTTAAGCTGCCAGATACATGCTACAGTTTGACTGTCAGAGATTCTGAAATAATGAATAAGAGCAAAAGAATAAACAAAATAAGATAACCTTGAAAATATGATGGAGAAATATTTTAGCATCAGCAGTCTATTAGATATTGCCGCAGAGAAATAAGTCCCAGAGTGCAGCTTGATGCCTTTTATGACCTGATATAATTTCATTTATGAGTTCTGCAGATAATTACAGACTGAAAATGTCCTCTGCCCAGCACAAAACAGTCCACAATGTGCTAAGCATTATGGAAGAATCAAACCCGTGGAGGAATATGAAACCAAAAATGCAAAGAATGCAATTGGGCTGCTAGCTTTGTACTCCATTTTGGACAGGGCAGGGTGCAATCAAATGTAGCAGTGTGTTTCTGTATTTATTAGCTTGTTTTCTCAGAAAATATACAGATATCTGTTCAAGTCATAACTTCAGTTTTATTGGTTACGCTTGGAGTTTTTCAATCTTGGTCAAATCAATTGAGATGTGGCAGAGACTTTATCATTTTGCTCTAAGTGCTGAAATGAAACATGAAATTTTTTTCTATCAGACTAAATCTTATTAACATATCAATACAATGGTAAAATTCAGATAAGGTACAATATTGCTATTTTATGTTAAAACTTAATTTTTCGTCAAGAATTTGTAAAACTGTTAAGAATGAAAAGCATCTTCTGTAAATATCTTGTTTGCTGTCGTTAAGGCAAACATGACATCACTGCCAAAATTAACTTTTGTGGTAGTCCGTGTTAAGATGAACATTCATGCTCTGCATGTTCTTCATTCTCTCTGCCGGGTTAGAATCCTAGTAAAAAGCCATGACATAAATAAAAGGATTGGATTTAACATCTGAAGCACCAGCTACGTCCTCCACTCACCGTATGCTGTAGAGCACGTTGCCATTTTTAGAGATGCGTAGGAGCTTGTTGTCTGTGGTGACCTCGTGAAAGTTGGCCCCCTTCTCATTGGCAAAGAACAAGTCAGGTTTCCAGATGGAGTCCAACATGGAGGGGTCGAGATCCAGCGAGTCGTCGGGATACTCGCTGTAAGCCAACCTGGGGTCGTTCCACTGCTGCCTCAGGAAAATGTTCACTCTGTAGTCCTGCAAGCAGAAGGAAAAGACAATGGAGATCAATTGGTTAAAGAGAGGGGGGAAAAACTGGTTTATGTGTAAGAAAGCTGTAATTTATGAAAAATCGATGTGACATCCACACCCAAGGACAATTTAAAGTAACTGCTCATGTTTGTGGATCTTCAAGGAGTTCCCTGACAAAACTGGCAGCAAAACGTGAAGAATGTGCAAATTAGATTTGAAGGCAGTGTGTTCTTGCTGTAGGGGTACAACATTATCCACTTTGCTCTGAAAATGGTTCTAATCCTAAAACGTTGATCTTTCCACCTTGAGTTTAATCTGAGCTCTGGTTTGTGTTGTTTATCTTAAACTGGAAAATCAGCTACTCTGTAAATGTTGTTTTTCAGTTTACATAAAATGTAATTTTATTCATTATTTGCATGAACTATTTCTTAACAAAACTACTTATAGTAACTTATTCACACCTAAAACATAGTTGGAAATATGTTTGGAAGTATGTGGTGATTTCTTTTGTGATATTTGTGAAGTTGCTGCACTTAAAAGAAGGATCGAGAAAACAATATCTATAAGGATGCAAGAAAAATATCAGATGAAAGAAAGATAAAATGGACATGAACGACAGTATGATATCCTCCCCTCTGCTACAAGAGCAACATTCTCAGAAGAAATTGATTTGGCAGAAAATTTTAATTATTCGAAAGCCGCAAAAGTTACAAAGCATGCACCCTTGAAAAGAAGGTTGTAAATGCGTCCACAGGGAGATGTTCTCTATAAAACCAGAACAGGAGACGACAAGGGAAAAGGAGGGGAAAAACAGCTTCTCATAGGTCATTGCACTGCTGACTCAAGATGCCACAGCTCCACATGGAATATGACATCGACAGAAACCAAATGTGGGAGCGACAGAGTGATGGGCAGGATTTCACGCCTGGATGAGAAGGCACTCATGGGTGTTCATCCATATATGTTTGATATTTCACTGATCACGGCGGTGCATCACTTTGGGCTGCAACAGGAATAGTTTCCAAATAAAATACATCATCGCATGGCCATTTTATAAGCTTCTTTCCCTTCTGCTTCCTTCTTGATCTTAATTGATGAAGCAACAAAAGAAATCCTGCAGAAGTTGTGCATCTCTACTTTGGTTAGAAAGCAGTTACGGGAGGCTGAACCAAAAATAAGGTGGCTGACAGAAATAGAGGCATAAACAGCAGACAAGCAGATGGATGTGAGTTGAAGGTCACAGATCTGCTGCTTCTTTAGTTTTCCAAACAGACAGGGAGATAAACTGTGACAACACGTTGAGGGTTAGATCAATCAGAAAAAGAGGCTGGTTTCTTCTATGGTAGGACAATATATGTCAAGCAAAGTTTTAGATAAGATGATACATATTTGTGTTACTGAAGGAGTCGACTTTAAAAGTTAGGAATCATGGATGAAAGCACCTCCGGCTATTTTAAGCATGCACACATTATTTATCTTTTTTTTTATGTGAAAACTTTGTACACTTTTGTTCCAAGCAGTCTGAACTTTCTGTAATCTTACAAAGGGCTCTTGGTCAGTAAATTATAAAGGTACTGAACTGAAAATTAGCAGAAAGCAGCCAGAAGGATGTGTGGTGGAGGGAGAGAAATGTTTGACTTTCTCCTCTGAATGGATAAATTTTTATATTTTCCTGCATGCATAAAACTTTTAATGCACCAGCTGTTACTTCATGTTATTTTTTATTACTCCAACATTCGATTGCAGATTTGTTTGGAGGCTTAGAACCAGAGCTGGAATAAGATCGGACGTTTATAATGTGTGCAGTAAAGCACCTCTTTATCCTTCATGAGATCACTTCGACTGCTGCCTCAGAAGACAAACGGTAAAGGTTTTTAGTTTGTATTTTATTTCCTTTCTTTGTCTCTTTGTTTTGTATGCGTGCAGGCCAGTCGATCCAGCTATAGCATATTAACTGTGGTTCCCTCAGAGCTTTATTGTATAACCCTCCATTCTTCATTCTCTGTTTCACAATAAGAGTCCAGGTCTCTTCTGTGTGGAATTGGCATTCAGTTTGCCCCTCGATCTCTCTAATTGTCAATTATTCTCGGAATATGGAGCCTGGCTGCTTGGGCTGTCATTAAGCTGTGTGGCGTAGCAGAAAGAAGCCATCGCAGCGACTAGGTACGGCCACGCCAGCAGCCCCAGCAGGTGGCATTTCAAGAAGCAATCAGCCGCTGAGCTGAACATGTGTGTGCCGCAACAGCCTCGGCCAGGCTCCTTCTCTGTTTATCACTGTTTATTACACCAAATATCTCACATGAAACAAATGAGCTCAACCTTTTCTGAATGAGTCACCTTTTTTTCTGCTTGAGAAAGTGACAAATAACCTAAGACTCTGCAGAGATGAGGAGTGTGTGCTGATGGAGGGAAGAACGAAGGAGAGCTGTGGGCTTATTTCAGCGTCATCAGTCACTAAGATGCCTGCAGTTTGATTTCAGCTCTGAAGAAAATAGCTAAGTAGAAATGGCAGCAATAGAGCCGCTCAAACCAACCCAAAAAATATTCTTAAAGAAACTAGAAAAACACAGAACCTTGCAACAGAATTCATAGGTCTTTTCACATTTTGTTACGTTACAACCACAAAATTTTGTATGTTTTATTGGAATGTCACTGTTTGTGTTTGATCAACAAAAAGAAGAAGGGAAGTAATGCCAGATATAGTAAATCACAGAATCTTGTGAAGTATTTTTTGTCAAATTTCTTGGGCAAATATCTCAGTACACTTGAAATACACATAACTAGTAACTTTCCAGCTTGATAGAGCAGCTTTAGCAGCATCAGTGACTAAATTTGCAGATCCGACCTGCAGTATTTTTCAGAACATAACTGTATCAAGTCTATGCTGGAAAAGTATGCTGCTGTACTTTTCCATTCAATGAAATCTCTGTTCTCACCTGCAGGTCCACACATTGTACATGTTCAGCTCTTTATGGAGCCTCATAGATCAGAGGCCTGTCATGGCTGCAGATGGATGAACAGTAAACACGTTGGCTAGAAGTCAGGAAACGAATGGCGCTCCACTCCAAAATTCAAATGAGCAAAAAGTCATTTGGCATTCTAATGAGGGGAAAGTAATATTCGTGAAAAATGGCTGATTTCACGCTGGAGTTTGGCTTTAGACAGAGCTGATGACTCATTTGAGTAATCGGGTTATTAAAAATGTTATTGACACTGAGGCAGATCTGTATTAAACCCGTCCATCTAAAGATGTGACATAAGGCCATTGGACTGTTAAAATACATAGTAAAATTATCCCCCATTGGAATGCTGCTGCAGAGCCATTAGCAGAGAAATTGCTGTACTTACACAATACCAAACTCATTTCAGAATGCATTAAACTCAGGCAGTAAACCACGCATGAAGGACTACAATCCTCCTCTTCTTCTTTTCCGTGTGCTTCCTTTGACAACAACAGCAACTGCAGAAAAATCTGCAGCCATATTCTAATTCCACGCCTGTCATAACATCCTGCCGGCTTCCTGGAGTCTGCTCAGGTAGGAAGAGGAGGATATGGAGCTTCGCACATTATGGTAGCACATCTGCTCAGCTACGACAGCGAGGGAGAAATATGCCTTTTTTTCCGTTTGGCCTCAGATGGAGCCTCAGTTTGCCGGCAGCACAGAGAGAAGATGTCAAGTAAATTTACAGAGGGATCCGGAGAGCAAACCTTTCTCTGGAACATTATGGGATTTTAATAAACGAGCAGTCTGATCATTCAGTAAACACTGACACAGTTAACCTAGACTGACCTGAAGGTAATAATCTCTTGATGAAATCATCAGTTTGGGTTTAATGTTTTTGACAACAAAGCTGCTGTTATCCAAGTTCGTGATTTAATTAATTCATTAATTGTATGATTTATAGTTTATAGATTATTTGCAGCTTTAGGTGTTTTTCATGTTAAGATATTTTTATAGTCTCTAACAAACATTTAAAGTGTTGTTTTTGCAGACATACAAGAAAAGAAAACAATATAGCTAAATTTTGGGATTAAAGTTTTATGATTGTTTGAATACAGCTATTTAAATTTGTCGGTTTTATTTTTTATCAGTTAATAATAGCAAATAAAAATCTGTAAAGATTGAAGTAAGAACATATACATATAAGTAACCAATAAAAACATATTTCCATATACTTGCTTAAAATAGTTAGAAGTCTTATTCCATGTTAAAATTTTATATTTGCAAGTATTTTAAGGCTGATTTCTAATAAAATATAGTATAAAGCTACTTACTTTTCAGAAGGTGGATGGTATTTTAAAATATTTGCTCAGTAATAGCTTTAACATTATGGTTATGCTAAACATATTTTAAAGTTTGGACTTGAAACATCTCTTATTTTTAATGCCACAGTAAATTAGTCCTAAAAATCGAATTTTTGATGAATTCAAACAATTATTGGTTTAATATGAGCATTTAATTTTACATCAACATTTTCATCATTTTGAGGTATTTGCAAAATGTTTTGTTTTACAACGTCCAATGTTTTTATTTTTTATTTTTGTGACTTAAACACACAGGGATGTTTGAAGTTCTCCACATAAAGAGACGTAACACACAATGTTTGAATGAGGAGAAGAAAGCAGAGAAGCAGAAGAAGGATGAGACAGAGTGAAGAAGCTGTGGGAGTGCTGAAGCAGAAATGAAGCCGTGTTGCGTCGGTACTTCAACAAGCACTGCGCCATTCTACCGAATCCATCGATCACTGTTCTTCACCGTTCGCACCGCCGTGTGTGTCCTTTATCTCTGAGAGGACCGATGTTAAGAGGATAGTTTTTACACAGCAGTTTATACTTAAAAGGGTCTTCAGCTTCTGGCCAAACTCAGATATATTTCAAATTTTCTAAAACGCAGCAATTCAAGGATGCATATTTAAGCAATTCAACTTGTAAAACGTGCTTTTTGAACAGGTGATAAAGGGAAAGAAAGAGGCTGCATTGCCAGTGGTTCAGAGGTTGACAGCCAGTCAGAACAGCTAACAAGAAAATTACTTTTAGATGAACAGACATCAGATATTATCACTCAGTTCTTGCTTCAGACTGAATAGTAGATTCAGATTACAATTGTTGCTTGTGATGTACAATTATGACTTTAAATAATTTCAGCATTTGAAAGGCTTTTATAGATTTTTAACCTCATTTCTAAAAGATGGCTAACTTTCAATCGGAGAGAAGATCTGAAGTTATACCTAAAAGAAAAAATGGTAAAAGTGCTGCTGATCTCTGTATTAAAAGCATTTTTTAACATAAATTCTGTTCTGCTGTTGCTTGTCCTTTCATTTGTGCAACCCTTTATCTCTGTTGCTCCAGATGTTCTAGCAATATCAAGGGACTACTCGAATGCAATATATAATAGTACTATTCCATGTGATATGCATTAAAACTCTGCTTTACAAGAATATTTCCAGACACTTATTTAACTTACGTTTTTATCTTTAATATCCATCTTTTTGGCTAATATCAGCAAAAGGCATCAGGACTTTGATGATGGTAGGAGAGAAAAGGACAAAAGCTTGTGTAATTCCTAATCTTATTGTGAAACCAACTGTCAACAGCAGTTATGTTTTATGAATATGTGACTATTTGAGTGCAGACTGTAATAAACCTAAATCAATATTTACACAATTACATTAAACATGTGTCTTGTCTACATAGAGCCTCAAGATGACATCTGGTGCAATTTGGCACTATGTGCATAAGCTAAACTAAACTGAATTGAATTTTAAAGAGATTCTTTGAATATTTCTGTGCATTTGCACATTGTTAATCCAACCTGACAGAGCTAGAACCCAAAAATTCAGTACACGAAGGAGTTGTCACGACCTCAGAATCCCTGCAGAGGGTTTATTCAGCTGAAAGATTTACTGCTTTCATTGGAAAAATGTAGAAATTTCTCAGGGTTCAGGCGGGTGACAGGGGCTTGTTTTTGCAAACCAACACACACAGCATATCTGCTCTGAGCCTTGTTGCTCAGTGAACGTTGATGCTTCTGTTATATTTATACTAATGGATTTCCTGTGTAATGAACTGGTGTAAATTTTCCCTTCATTGCTTGTAAAAAGACACGCCAGCTCTGCAGTCGCTGCGTTGTTATGCTAATGGTGGCAGCAGTGATGCGCTCGTTCAAATGAAATGAAATGTGGGCCCAGTGAGGCGGGGAAACATCCAAACACTGAGAGGTCAGAAAGCTTTTAATTTTTCAAAATGTTGTAAAAATGCAACTTCGGATGCACTGAATATCAACACAGCCTTCAGTTTAATTAACTTCATTTTTCAAGTGAAAATTACCAGAGCTGAGATGAGGCTCTGGTGAGATGTGACTGTCTCCATTACGGGCTTAAGCATCCAAATCCACACACAGACACCAGTGACAAGTTTGAAAATCTTTGCTTTAAGGCTGTGTTGCTAAGTGGAAGTGATAATAAATAAGCTTACCATTGTTGTTTCAGCAATGGAGCCAAAACTGTTGATAAAAATGTTGCAGGTTACGTTGACAGGGGGACCTGCAGAAATGACACAGAGTGAAAAAGAAAATAAGAAGTGAGACTAAATGCAGGTTTATATGTGTTGGTTGATTATTTTTATCTACACAAACGTTCATTTGCAGAATAATCATTGAATGAGCCAATAAGATGGCTTTGCTTTGGTCTTTATTAGGTATCATTTATACTGATGATCACAAGAAAACCAGGAGGTTCCGATCAGCAAACTGTTCATTCTTCTCCCGCATTTTAATGTACTAAATATCCTGAGTTGATTTGTAATAATTTTGGAAATGGTTTTAAAACTTAAGGGTTTTGTTCTGACTGAAATCTGAAAAATGAAAGGAAAAGTACCGAAATAATGACTCAGTCATGAAACATTTGATTGTTTTAAAGTGAAGCACTGTGCCTCAAGAAATATACCAAAAACTAAACAAGAGGTTAGAACTAAGTGAAGATTGAAGTTTGACTCAAAACAGAAAAACTAACACATTTCTACAGGATCATAAAGCAAAAATACTTGACATTTTGCAGTGTATGTCTTCAAACAGATAAACATGATTCAGTGACTCAGTTTCAATTAACTTGAAAAGTTGATTGCAATATTTTCTGCACTTTAAAAAACTCACACACATTTATTATCCTACTAGATTATTTGCAGAAATAACCTCTTTTGCTGCAGTACTGAAAGCAGACAAGCAACTCAGACCAAAAATCTCAGAGGAACATTTCTGAGACCTTGCTTAAATTCAAATAGAGTTAGATGTAGCCAGGTATACCTAATAAAATGGCCTGTAAGTGTACATGTGTATTTTATTAATTAATTTCATTCGGTTTATTTTTTTTAGGCACAGCAGATTTTATTCTCTTTAGTGCGTGTTTGGCTTCTGGTGTTAAGGTGTGAAGATGTCTCTTTAAGAGCAACATTCATGTGGGATCATAAATGGAGACAGCATCAATGATAACAGGGAAGTTCAGTTGACAACAGACTGCAGGAAGTAAGCAAAGCTAAAGTAGCTGCCTGACATTATAAGAACAGACTTAATGGCTGAATGAACAAGTCAAAACCTCCAAACAGACCTGACAACATCTAAACATTTACCTGCTGAGAGCTGGGTGACTTGTAAACATTCAGAACAAACAGGGAAACTAAAGACGACAAAATACATTTCAAACAAAATGTGAAACTACGATTGTTCAAAAATAGTGTTGGTTCAAAAACAGTTCAGTTTATTCTCTCAGGGATCAAATGAGGCTCTGATGGTAGTTTACAGATGAGCGAGTTACAGTGACGGTAAGCAGAAAATCAACACACTTCACTGAATCATTGGATTTCCAAGTGGAACAAACACAAACAGGATTACCTGGTGGACCAGAGCTGCAGAGAGGAACACAGAGGTCGACTCAAAAGAAATATTACAGTTTTAATACCAAGCTTAAGATAGCAAAACTGATGACTCATCATTTTAAAGATAAAAGCAATGAACAACAGATTTTCACATGGCAGATTTCATATGTTTATTTTCTTAGCAGAGGTCTGGTTGTTCACGTTTCCCTGAGAAAACCTTGACAGAATGAAAACCAACAGTTCAACATATAACATTAAATTGTTTCATGTTGAACAGTATCTTTGATATTACGATTTGAATATTGAAGTAGCTTTTTACCTATTCTGTTTCATCAGGTTAAGATAAAGCATAAAGGTATCAGTTTGTAACAATAAAGAGGAGAGCTTGTTTTATTACAAGCTGTTGGTGTGAATCTCATTCTCTACATGACCGCAGCACTTTTCCTCCACATGTCATAAATAAAAACATGATTCTTATCAGGGACATCGGCTTGACTGAAGTTTGTATTTTTACAATATTTTGGAAGCAATAAATGGTAAGAAAAGTTTCATTGAACCAGCAAACCGTAGATTGCAGGACAAACACGTATCATCGTCACAACCATCGACTCTATTCATAAGAAAAAGTTGCATATTAATGCATTGTTAGATATATTTGGTCTTTGAACTTTTAAAATAGGGAATTAAAAGTGCTAGAGATAGCTAAAATCTCTTTAAGCTATTCATAGGTGATTGTGGTTCTTAACCGCTGAGAATACTGATGTCCACTGCACAAACTTTATTGCTTTTATCAGCGAACACGATATAGAAAAGTAGATTTCGGTTTTGAGTGAAACCAAAATCTTATTAACACATTTATCAGGGTTATAATCTTCTTACCAAATGTGTTTGATTCGTCAACAATCAACAAAACAAACATGGTACAGACTGCTGGGTTTTTGAAAACTTAAAGTTTAGAAATAAATATATTTTTGTTTTTTAAGGGTAGAATGTTTAATTTGTAACATTAACAACTCCTATTTCCTTCTCTTTCTCCTAAATGGAGCTTGAATGTTTCTCTACTCTGTTACTCTGTGCTATTTCTTTCTACTTCTTAATCCATAGGCACTGGATTAACAGCGAGCTTCTCTTTTAACTTTAGAAAAGTTAACAAATATGATGCAAATACAATCAACATGACTGTCAAGGTGTAAATTAATCCATACAAAAATCTAAAATAAGGAAAATCTGTTGCAGTTAGTTACTTTCAAAGTGAAGGAAAACACCGAAACCAGATTTAACAAACAGTTACAGCTTCCAACTACAGCTCTAATGAGCACATCTGTTTCAAAGAGTTTTCCAGATTGCTTTAGTGGTTCCTGTAGTTTTAAACACTGATAATTTGGTGCCATTAAAGATTTGTTAATTTGTCCCTAAAAATGGTGATTTGCTTTCTTGGAGCTGACAAAAACAATTCCAGCTACCATCTGGTCGGAGAGGAGCTACATTGTTGCTGTGTGTGCTTAGTGCGAGGAAGCATCTCGGTCTCCTGAGAAGTACACCTCTGCATGTATGCGATATGGTTGCATGGTTTCAGAAGTCTCAGGTTTTTACTCTAACATGTCAGCATGTCTGGAAAATGACTTTGCTTTCAGTGGCACTTTCACAGATCCGAAAAGAAAAAACAGTTTAGAAAGCTATGTTGTAAAAGCCACAACAGTTTTACTGAAAAAACAATTTAGGTTGGTAACAACATAACTATATGTGCATAAAATCCTGACCATGCACCACTCTCATAAAAGAAGATTTATTTAATCTATTAATGAGACACTGAGTTGTTTTTAAATCGAAAGTGATGCCTGAAAGTCTATTCAGCTGATATAATGTATCTAACTGTGAATAGCAAGGAGAGATACAACTTTGTCGGCTTGTCTTCACATTGATGTGCTTTATATTTATTTTATACCTTGTGAGGTAAAAATGTGGCTTTGCATGACAAAAATTAATGTTTAATGAGTGAACAGGCTGCATCACTGTCATCCTCTGATACATGATGATGCAACTTAAGGTCAGACTATGCCTCTTGCAAACACACACCCACACACACACACTTGCAAAACATGGACACAGAGTTTGTGTTTAACGTCCCTGACTCAACGCGATGTCTAATTCCACTTGCCGGGGGCTGGCTGCGAATGAAGGAAGGGGTCTGGATTATTTTGATGGCCAATTACTCTTCCTGTCACAGTCAGTCGAACGCTCGAGGCCAAGGGAGAGAAATATCATGTCAGAGTCATTCACAGACACACACACACAGACAGAAACACAACTGTGGTTAAGGCATGGAGTAGGTTGTAGAAGTATGGTTAAAAGAGGAAATAAATCATTAAAGTTTGCCTGAGGCAGTCATTCTTCATGTGAGTTATATGTACAGCATCCAATTAGAAAGCAGATCTTACTACAGGATAGTGAGACGGTATAATTCAAAGTTACACAGATGAATTGAAACAAGACGGCATGAAACTCACAGAGTTCATTTCAACTTGGGCAACAGAAACTTGTTGAGCAAAATGTTTACACAACACAAATCTGACTGAATGTAATTAAAGTAAAGATATGAACAAACTGACTATTGTTTCTTGAATTATCTTAAACTCTTTATGTATTAGGAAGAAACCAAATTGATTGTGAACTAATTTAATTTGTAGAGCAAGTGCATCTTTGCATCGCATAGTTGTATTTATTTTTTCTACTTATTTTTCCACAAAACCAAAATTACAACACTATCAACTGTGGGTTGTAGTTTATACAAACTTTGTTTCTGACAGAAAATCAACCCTTTACCCTCCGATGAGATTTCAATCACCCCACAAATTTGACCGACTGAAAGGAGAAACAGGCTGGCAGTAAACACACTTCAAGACAAATGGACTTCAGGTAAATAACATCCCCTGCTGAGGCACCTGACTTTATCTGTCTGATGTATGAAGCCTGCACAAACCCAGTGAGTACAAGCTCTGATATGTCTGAGGGTTTATCCATAAAATCACCTGGTATTACATTAACACTGTTTCTCTCAGAAGGACTCTGCAGGCCTAACTCAAGTCCCTCGCACCCTGGCTTTGTTCAAAACCTTCATCAAGGTCCTTTCACTGTGTGGCAGGAGGGAGGTGAGTAGAGCGATGTCATAATTTGTCTTTCCTTGACATTTCTTGAAGTGCATGATGCAAAAAAAAAAAAAATACAAGAGATGAGGGGAAGCTTAAAGCCCACCTTCTTATTTTCTGCCACAACAGTTCATTTAATACCCATCAAGTAAAGGGCAGATGGAGAGAGATTCGCTCTGTTTTATAGCTTTTTCAATAAAGCAGAAGATGGGATGCAGGAGAAAACGAGAGAAAGAGAAAGCAGACACAGCTCATTAACTGTCATGGAGGACAGGCTGGCAGTGAGTCACAGGCTTCTGTAGTTCTGTTCTTATGTTAGCCTCAGCGTGTTTGAGCTCACAAACACGTCTGTGCTTCCATGATCCTTTATTACATAACGCCCGGTTAGGGTTAGGGTAACTAACTAAGGGTATCACTTGGATTTGTACACTAATTTTTTTGTTTATTTCATATCTGTCACAAATGATAACATAGAGAAAGCTTGCTCACTGAGTCTTTGTGAGATGAAAATATCTGTGGTCCAAATG